CTCCACACGCCTCACGTGGGTCTGAAGGTAGAAGATGAGCCACATCGGTGACACGTGTAGCCACGTCATCGCCACGTGTGGCCCTGTCATCGCTACGTCATCCTCGTTGACCGTTGACCGAGCCGACGAGCCGAGCCGAAGCCGAGCCGCTGCGCCAGAGCCATGCCTCATTGACCAGCTGTTGACCTAGCTACTAAGTTGTTGACTACGTCATTGACCGCGCCGAACTGGAGAAATCATCATGTGCTTCTCAGCCTCACCAGATTCTGTAGATCAGAACCGTCCAAACTGTTTTGGCTCAATCTGAGTCATTCTGAGTCTGTGTCTGACAATCCAATAGTGTTTTCAAACTATTTGGAATATTTCGAACACATCTGTACGGTCAGATTTTGCAAATTCTATTTCTAAAATTTTCAGTTTGTATTTGGACAATCCAAAGTGCTTTTCTGACTAATTTGACTAGTCCGGATTCAATAACGAAGCCTATTTTTTTTATAGAGATTATTTTCTGTATACGCAAGTGTTGATGAAGGAATCAACGTCGATTTGAGGATCTATGTTCAAGTTAACTCCTTCTAATTATGCAATTTGGAAGTCACGAATGGAAGACGTCCTGTATTATAAAGACCTATTTGACCCTATTTTTGTAAAAGGGATTAAACCTAAAGAAGTGAAGGATGATGACTGGATAAAGATGAACCGTAAGACTATCGGTTGTATCAGACAGTGGATAGACCACGTGTGCACCATCATGTCGCCAAGGAGACAGATGCCTATTCTCTATGGAAAATGTTGGACGACATGTACCGGTCAAGGGCCGCTCGGAACAAAGCCTTGGTGATGAGAAGGCTTGTAAATCTAAAGTTGAAGAATGGTATGTCTGTCACTGAGCACACTAGTGAATTTAAAAATCTAGTGAATCAGCTTGCAACTGTCAAGATGCGCTTGGACAATGAAATGCAAGTCGTTCTACTACTCAATTCTTTACCGGAGAGCTGAGAGATGTTGGTTGTTTCTCTCAGTAACTCTGCACTAGAAGAGAAGCTGACCATGAGCATGGTCATAGACGCCATGTACAATGAAGAGACAAGGCGTAAAGACTTTGGTGGAGATCAATCCCATGCCTTCGTCACAGAAAATAAAGGTAGAGGCAGGGACAAAGGAAGAAGCAAAAGCAGAGGACGCAACAGAGAAAGATTTCAAGATAGAGGGAAATCCAAAGAAGGTACAAGCCGACCGAAGTTCAAGTGCTACCATTGTGGCCAGGAGGGTCACATAAAGAAATATTGCTATGCCTTGAAGGGAGAACAAAAACAAGGCAATAGATAGCCAAAGACTGAAGATGGGAACACTGCAGTTACTGTCTCAGAGAATATTGCATTATTCTCTATTAGAGAAGAAGAATATCGAGTGGTGGTAGATACAGCAGCTTCCTACCATGCCACACCTCGGAAGGAATTTTTCTGTACATATCAAGCTGGAGATTTTGGTATAGTAAAGATAGGTAACTCTAGTTTTTCAAATATTGTGGGAATCGGTGATGTTCGCATCCAAACCAAAGTTGGGTGCACGATGGTGTTGAAAGATGTCAAGTATGTTCCCGATTTACACCTGAATCTTATCTCAAAAATAGCCTTAAATTGACAAGGCTATGAGACCTACTTCGGCAAAGACATGTGGAAGTGGAAAAAGGGATCTCTGGTGTTAGCCAGAGGACAGGCAAGTGGCACGTTGTACAAGACTCATGTGGAGGTGCATTCAGATAGCCTCAACGTAGCAGAAGATGAGGCATCACCAAATTTATGGCACAAAAGGCTGGGTCACATGAGTGAGAAAGGGTTGCAGATTCTGGCAAAGAAGTCGCTTATTCCCTTTGCCAAAGATACGAAATTGAACCCTTGTGACAACTTTTTGTTTAGGAAGCAACATAGAGTCACTTTCCACTCATCATCCAGAAGACAATCAGAGTTGTTGAGCAGAGTATACTCTGATGTATTCAGTCCCAAAGAAGTGAAATCTTTGGGTCGCAAAAAATACTTCCTGACGTTTATTAATGACACATCACGAAAGGTATGTGTTTATATCCTAAAAACCAAAGCTGAAGTGTTCCAGCATTTTCAGACATTCCATGTTATGGTGGAAAAGGAGACTGGAAAGAAGCTAAAGTGTCTCCGAACAAACAATGGAGGCGAGTACACGTCAAAGGAGTTTGAAGCCTACTGTGCTACTCGCGGCATCTGACATGAGAAGACTATTCTTGAAACCCCATAACACAATTGTGTAGCCGAAAAAATGAACCAACCCATTGTGGAGAAGGTTAGATGTATGCTCAAAATGGCAAAGCTGCCAAAGCCATTTTGGGACGATGCAGTTCGTGTTGGTTGCTATTTGATCAACAGATCGCCATCAGTTCCACTGAATTTTGAAATTTCAGAAAAAATATGGTCTGGAAAGGAGATTTCTTACTCTCACTTGAGAGTCTTTGGGTGCAAAGCATTTGCACATGTATCCAAGGAGCACAAACAGAAGCTGGATGATAAAGCTACTCCAGGCATCTTTATTGGCTATAGAGATGAAGAATTTGGATGCAGATTATGGGATCCAAAAAACAAAAAGGCCATTCGAAGCCAAGATGTGTTATTTCAAGAAGGCCAGACCTTAGAAGACTTTGGGCAACCAGCCAAACCCAAAATTAATGATGTTTTAGAAATTGTTTCCAATCCTGCACCATCACAGCATGCCACTGATGAAGAAGAGCTACCACATCATGCAACCAATGATGTAGAGTTGCATGATGGATTGCCAGAAGAAGAAGATCCAGAAGAAAATGGTGTGGAGCAGGGGAAGCCACAACCCCCTCTGCCAGAGACTGGTGGTCCACAATTGTGAAGATCAACAAGAGAGTCTAAGCCGTCGTCAAAATACCCTGCTTCTGAGTATATTTTGCTTACTGATAAGGGGGAGCCAGAAAGTTTTCAAGAAGCTCAGAATCATAAGGAGAAGAGTAGTTGGCATCAAGCTATACAAGAAGAGATGCAGTCCTTGCAGAAGAATCAGACTTATGATTTGGTAAAACTTTACAGGGTCGAAAACCATTGCAGAATAAATGGGTGTTCAAGTTGAAGAAAGATGGTAGCGGAAAGCTAGTCAAGTGTAAGGCTCGATTGGTTATCAAAGGTTTTGGGTAGAAGAAAGGTATTGCTTTTGATGAGATCTTCTCGCCAGTTATGAAAACGACATCCATTCAAGTAGTTTTGGGACTAGCGACCAATTTGAATTTGGAACTTAAACAGATAGATGTGAAGACGACATTTCTCCATGGTGATCTGAAGGAAGAAATTTACATGAAGCAGCCAGAAGGTTTTGAAATAAAAGGGAAAGAAAACTTAGTCTACAGATTGAAGAAGAGTCTCTACGGCCTCAAACAAGCGCCGAGACAGTGGTACAAGAAGTTTGACTCATTCATGGTGGGTCATGAGTACAAGAGAACTGTTGCAGACCAGCGTGTCTATGTCAAGAAATTTCCCAATGGAAACTTCATCATGCTCCTGCTCTACATTGATGAGATGCTGATTGTTGGACAGGATGCCACAGCAATCAGATCATTGAAGAATGAGTTATCTCAGTCCTTTGATATGAAGGACCTAGGCCCTGCACAACAAATTTTGGGCATGCAAATTGTGCGTGACAGGAAAGCCAAGAATTTGTGGATGTCACAGGAGAAGTACGTTGAACGGGTGATTGCGAAGTTCAACATGAAAGATACTAAGCCAGTCAATACTCCGCTGGCTAATCATTTCAAGCTAAGCAAGAGTTCTTGTCCCTTCTCTACTAAAGAAACAGAAGAGATGGAGGCTATTCCATACTCATCCGCTGTAGGGAGTTTGATGTATGCAATGGTGTCTACCCAACTAGATATTGCTCATGCTATTGGAGTAGTACGCAGATTCCTTTCCAATCTAGTAAAAGAGCATTGGGAAGCAGTCAAGTGGATTCTGAGGTACCTCAAGGGTATGGAAAAAATGTGTTTGTGCTTTAGAGATGCTAAACCAGTCTTAAAAGTCTCTATACGGATTCAGATATGGCGGGAGATCTTGATGGTAGAAAATCTACATCAGGATTTCTGTTCACTTTCGCAGAGGGAGTTGTGTCTTGGCAGTCCAAGTTGCAGAAGTGTGTTGCTTTATCCATAACCGAGGCAGAGTATATTGTCGCAGCGAAAGCTGGGAAAAAGATGTTGTAGTTAAAGCAGTTTCTCCAAGAGTTGGGATTAAAGCAAGAGAAGTTCACGGTACATTGTGATAGCCAAAGTGCCATCGACTTGAGCAAGAATTCGATGTACCATTCTCGCACAAAGCACATTGATGTTCAGTATCATTGGATACGTGAAGTAATTGAAAAGCAGTTATTGGAACTGATCAAGATCCATATAGATAAGAATCCAGCAGACATACTTACAAAGGCGGTCTCAAAAAACAAACTCGAAATCTGCAGAGACATTGCCAGAATGGACTTCAAGTGAGAATTCAGTTATCCATATGGGCATGGTGGGGGAGAATTGTTAATCCACTGCCCAAATGGAGAACCCACTTTGGATAGTGGAAGAAGGTAGGTAAGGTGGCTCTCCCACTCTCCCACCCACTCACTAGTGGAAGGGGTAGGTGGTGACAAATCATAACCTCCCTCATTTGTGTATAAATGAGGTGAGGAGGAGGAGCTGAATAAGAAAAGATTACAGTGTGTGTAATCTAAGAGGGCAGTGAGCAACAAATGTGAATGAGAGTGCTATAGAGAGTGTTTGTGAGGTGTGAGTTGTGAGTTGTAATCTCCCTCTAGGAAATTCTATAGTGGATAGCTCTCCGTGAACGTAAGCAAATTGCCGAACCACGTAAATATTCTTGTGTTATTGTGTGTGATTGATTTCTGGTGTCTCATAGTCCCAACAGAATGGTCAAGGATTCGGATGAGCAAACATTGGAGTTGTTGAAGCAATCAACAAGATGCAGATAATCGAGGAAACAAAAGAGGAGTCATTGTTGACCGATGCCAGAAAATGCTATGCAGAAGAAGTTGATGATGAGCTGGATGAAGAGATGTTGGTGATTGACGGGTGTTTCATACTTGAACTTCTCTACAAATTTCAAGAAAAAGGCCTCCACCAGCAGCTTATTTCTGGTAGCCCACTGACGTTCTACCCCATCCAACATGATTTGTTGCATATGGAGAACCAGCTACCCTTCTATGTTCTTGATAAGTTGTTCCTCTTAACCAAGAAGCTTATGCCTACATCTTCTTTTTCTTCTTCTTCCTCCTCCTCTACGCCGCCTCCTGATTCGCTTATTGAGTGTGTTCGTTCCTACTTTTCCACTATAACAGACTTGGGACCCACGGTCGATCGTAGCAGCAGCAACAACAACAAAAATGGTCCCAAAAGGTCTTGTTGGAAAGGAGTGACAGAGAGTGTCATCATGAAAGTAGAGAAAGATTATTGTCATATCCTTCATATTCTAGTCGACGGCTTCCATTCTTTCACAGATGGTAATAAAAAGAATCCAGTACGGGAATCACTGGTTAATATCCTTTAGAAATTTTTTTCAAGGTAAATACTTAAAAATTTAAATTTTATAAATCTACATTTAAACTTTTCAAATCACACCCAAAAAAAAAAAAAATCCATATATATAACCAGCGTAGTGGGTAACTTAATCATATATACATACACATTTTAAAAGTATGGGTAAATTACACTTACATCTTTGAGATTTGAATTTAATATATATTTGGGAAATTACACCACTCTCTGTCATTGTAATTATTTATACGAACTGAAAATATTAAACTCATGCATTCTTTCTTTTCTTGTTTTTCTTTACTTTCTTTTTTTTTTTTTTCTTTTTCCTTTGCTTTATTTTTTTTTCAATATAATTTGTTTTTTTTTAATTAGCAATTGTTACCTTTTATATAAGTAGAGGTTTGAGAAATGACACTATTAGTTACAGGGATGAAAATGTAATTTATCCTAAAAATATTAATGAACACATTTTCATTTTATATTTTATTTATGATTTTATGTGTCAATGTTATATTGATAATAATTGTGAGATCCATTACCTATATAATATTGACTCACAAGGTAACAAACAAATTATTGTAGTCCAAATATTATTGTTCTATAAGTTAGCGGATTATGAATTGGGTGTTCAACCAGGTGAATTGAGTTGGTAATATATTTTACTAAACTTTTTTTTTTAGGGTTACCGGCCATGATGACAGCAAATTCAGCCCTGCGTCAGAACTCGTCGTTTCAAAATCCCAACCCTGACAATCGATGACTCCACAGAGTTGTTCTTCGGAAACCTCTTTGCGTTCAAGCAGTGTTGCCCTGGGTTCAAGCGTCGCTTCACATCATACGCATACCTTATAGATAAACTCATAAGCATTGTAAAAGACGTGGAACTGCTTGAAAAGGCCAGAGTAATAAGTGACTATCTTGGCAGCCATGAAGAAGCCATTCATCTCTTCAACAAACTCGGCAAGAATGTAGATGCGTCTCCATGCCATTTCAATGACGCGTACGGACAAGCCACTGGCTACACAAAGCGTTGTTTGCCAAAAACTATTGCATATTTGAGACGTGAATATTTTGCGACTCCATGGACAACCATAGCTTTTGTTGTTGCCTTTATCGGTTTTGGAATCACAGTGACAAAACTCATCCAAAGTTTCCTTCCATGAATATTGTGTGGTGTTCCGTCTTCTTCCTCCTATCCTACTCCTACCCATTATATATATATATATATATCGTTATATGTTTGTTTATGATCTAGATCAACTTTAGTATCTTATATGATCTAGATCAACTTAAGTCATTCCGTACTAGTTTCTGACAAGGATTGTTTGTACCAAATAATTGCAAGGGCATGTTTCTATTCTAATATGTTTCCCTTTCCATTCGGACATTTGTGATTGCTGCATAAGCTCTTTGCAATGTCGCTAAATGTAATCCAAGAAAGTTTAGAATGATGTGATTTTTTTAACCCATTTGCTTAAAAAAAAAAAATTATTTATTTATTTTTTATTTTTTATTTTTTGGACAAAAAAAAACTCAGAATTTTACGTGTTTTTCAAATTAAACCCCAATGTTAGGTTTCAATTGTATCAATTTAAATCCTTAACTTTTTATTCGTATCAATGTTAACTATCCGTTCATCCTTGTTAACTTGTTTGACGGAATTTTTTTTGAAGCACACGTGACACATTTTCATTCGCCCTTTTCACTTAATATTAATCTTATATTTAAATATGATCACACCATATCAATACTACCATTTATTTATCATCCATTACATCAGAGTCATTCATCATATACTTACCCTGAACTTCAACACAATGTATCAAGACCCAATGCAGTTTCTCTCTTCCTCATACCCATTACTACTTTTGCTCATTTCTCCGTTCCACCAACGACTATCACTTTTCTCCTTTTTCTTCTTCTTCTACTAACGACCACCACCCTCTCCCTCTCCCTTTGCCTTTCTCTTTCTCTTCTATTAGCAACCACCATCATCTCTTCTCTATTTCCTTCCCCATCCACTCCATCATTTTTCTTGCTACCCGATCTCCCTTTTTCACTATATATTTTTCTAGCAAAAGTGGGCTACGATTTTTGATTTATTTGTGTGCGATTTACGGCTATAGATGGTTGGCGGTGGGTGGTTGATTTGATGAAAGATGTTATCGAGTGTGGTGGTCTAATATGGTGGTAGATAGGAGTGAGCAGTGGATATACCAATCTGCCTAAACCGACCGAATCAACCGATCCGTCGTATTTTGGACGGATGCGTAATGACGAGCGGACAGTTGTAGATTGATTTTTTTCAACCCGCCTAGTTTTGGACAGATGGCAGCAACCAAACCACCAAACCGCTAACACCCGTAATAATTTGTAAGACTTTGTGTTTTCAATTTATTTAGATATTCTGTTTGTATTTTCAATTAAAAAAGAATTTAAATATTCTGTTGAAAAAGAGTTTTTAACTTGAATGTATTTTTTGAATTAAAAATATATATATATTATTTATCTATATTTTTTGGTTTTTAAATCTAACTCTAAAAATAATAAATAAAAAAGATAATATATGTTGGTTGGTTTTTGTTTTTAAAAATAGATATAGATGTAACAATACATAGGCATACAATCTCTACTACTGCTCTGTTCATAATTTTGGTGGTTTGAATTGTTTTTGTATTTTAAGAACCACAGATTGTAATAATTTATGTGGATGAGGCATGCTGTGATTGTAGTATGTGGATGATGTATGCAGTGATTGTAATACTTTTTTAAGTCATTGACTGTAATACTTTTTTCTTTTTTTTTTAGGAAGTGTACAAGTTAAATTATGTTGAAAATTTATAAAATTTTAAACCGCTAAACCGATTCGCATTCATCTGCCAATCCGCCAATCTGCTCAATCCACATCCGCTAGATTGATGGACGGATGCGGATTAATTTCCTCCAATCCACCAATCTAGCGGACAGATGGCGTATTGGAGATTCTGTGGCCGCAACTGACCTGTGCCCATCCCTAGTGGCAAATTTGATCAATAGGGTCGCGATGGCTAACGGTGTGACAGATCTGGTGATTAGGGATGGTGAATGATCAGAAAGAGGGGTACCTAGAAAGGAGCCACACCACTGATGGCTGCGATGGCAGGTAGTGAGCGAAAAAGGAGTAAGAAGTGTATGTGATTTGCTGCAATTTCGGTGTTGGATTAAGGCAGAGTTGGCAGTGCCATTGATGAGTGGTGTAAGCTGGTACGAACGAGAACTGAAAAACATAAAAAATCAAGCATAAATAAAAAAAAAAAAATTATATAGATTAGTAAAACAAAATTGAATTGATATATATATATATATATAGAGAGAGAGAGAGAGAGATGGACATATGGAAGAGCTGGGGCTGATCTAGGAGATTAGGGCAGTCGGAATAGGTGATCAACTGCAAAATTTGACCGTCGACGTTGGACATAGTTTTGATACCCAATGAGTAAGTGAAGGAAATGAAAATGGTGGGCAGTGAAAGAAATTAGTTTAGCAAACGGTGATGGACGGAATGCGTAGATTGTGACACGGAATGAAATTCAGAATTTAAATTGATGTAATTAAAAATTTAGGGTTTAATTTGAAAAACACATGAAACCTTAAAATTTTTTCTTTTTCTTTTGTAATTTGCACTATTATTTTTAAAGAATTATTTTTTATATAAAATATTTTATTTTTTTATGATGACGATGGCAGTGGCAATGGTGGTGGTAGTGGATGAGGAGGTGATGTTGGTATGTAGTGTGTCGATGGTGGTGGTGGTGATAGTGACAGCCGAGCAGTGATAGTGGTAGTAATGGTGATATGTCGGCTCGACGGTGGTGGTGGTGGAAGAGTGATAATGGTAGATGAGAAGGCGGTGGTGGTAGAGTAGCAATAGTTATAGCGATCCCGGGTTTACCCTTGTTATACCGTGATCCGGACATGTGTCCGTGGATGTTGGTAGTTGTTTATTATCTTGTTTGCATCCTTTATTACTTTGTATTTGAGTTATAGGATGCCATGAGCAAGAATCAACTGGGTGTCGCATCTTGCTATCTTCACTTTTATGAGCAGAATGCCACCTTAAATCTTCAGCCATTTGTGATGACCTAAACATCCTCCTAAACCTTGGATTATAGGAAAATATCTTAGCACTTTAGCAGGAACACCTTTTTTAATTTTATTGGTGCGTTGATCGACCTTCCATCGTGAAAAATCACATTTTGGACAACTCTCCATTTCAGCATTCTCTTTTCTAAACAAACAGCAATCATTCACACAAGCATGAATCTTCTCATACCCTAAATCAAATGCTTTGACAAATTTTTTTACAGAGTATACAGACTTCAGAATGACATTTCCCATTGGTAACATATATGCAGAAGAAGTTGATGATGAGCTGGATGAAGAGATGTTGGTGTTCATACTTGAACTTCTCTATAAATTTCGAGAAAAAGGCCTCTACCAGCAAGTTACTTCTGGTAGCCCACTAACATTCTACCCCATCCAACATGATTTGTTGCGTATGGAGAACCAGCTACCCTTCTATGTTCTTGATAAGCTGTTCCTCTTAACCAAGAAGCTTATGCCTACATCTTCATTTTCTTCTTCTTCCTCCTCCTCTACGCCGCCTCCTGATTCGCTTATTGAGTGTGTCTGTTCCTACTTTTCCACTATAACAGACTTGGGACCCACGGTCGAACGTAGCAGCAGTAGCAACAGCAACAACAGAAGTGGTCCCAAAAGGTCTTGTTGGAAAGGAGTGACGGAGAGTGTCATCATGAAAGTAGAGAAAGATTATTGTCATATCCTTCATATTCTAGTCGACGACTTCCATTCTTTCACAAATGGTAATAAAAAGAATCCAGTACGGGGAATCACTTGTTAATATCCTTCAGAAATTTTTTTCAAGGTAAATACTTAAATATTTAAATTTTATAAATCTACATTTAAACTTTTCAAATCACACCCAAAAAAAAAAAAAAATCCATATATATAACCTGCATAGTGGGTAACTTAATCATATATACATACACATTTTAAAAGTATGGGTAAATTACACTTACATCTTTGAGATTTGAATTTAATATATATTTGGGAAATTGCACCACTCTCTGTCATTGTAATTATTTAGACGGACTGAAAATATTAAACTCATGCATTCTTTCTTTTCTTGTTTTGCTTTACTTTTTCTTTTTCTTTTTCCTTTGCTTTATTTATTTTTCAATATAATTTGTTTTTTTTTTTTAATTAGGAATTGTTACCTTTTATATAAGTAGGGGTTTGAGAAATAAGACTATTAATTACAAGGATGAAAATGTAATTTATCCTAAAAATATTAATGAACACATTTTCATTTTATATTTTATTTATGATTTTATGTGTCAATATTATATTGATAATAATTGTGAGATCCATTACCTATATAATATTGACTCACAAGGTAACAAACAAATTATTGTAGTCCAAATATTATTGTTCTAGAAGTTAGTGGATTATGAATTGGGTGTTCAACCAGGTGAATTGAGTTGGTAATATATTTTACTAAACTTTTTTTTTTTTAGGGTAACTGGCCATGATGATAGCAAATTCAGCCCTGCGTCAGAACTCGTCGTTTTAAAATCCCAACCCTGACAATCGATGACTCCACAGAGTTGTTCTTCGGAAACCTCTTTGCGTTCGAGCAGTGTTGCCCTGGGTTCAAGCGTCGCTTCACATCATACGCATACCTTATGAATAGACTCATAAGCACTGTAAAAGATGTGGAACTGCATGAAAAGGCCGGAGTAATAAGTGACTATCTTGGCAGCCGTGAAGAAGCCATTCATTTCTTCAACAAACTCTGCAAGAATGTAGATGCGTCTCCATGCCATTTCAATGACGCGTACGGACAAGCCACTGGCTACACAAAGCGTTGTTTGCCAAAAGCTATTGCATATTTGAGACATGAATATTTTGCGACTCCATGGACAACCATTACTTTTGTTGTTGCCTTTATCGGTTTTGGAATCACAGTGACAAAATTCATCCAAAGTTTCGTTCCATGAATATTGTGTGGTGTTTCGTCTTCTTCCTCCTATCCTACTCCTACCCATTATATATATATATATATATCGTTATATTATATGATCTAGATCAACTTAAGTCATTC